GGGCAGGTGGCAGGAGAGGGCGGGCTGGGTGTGCGGCCAGCGGGGGGGAGAGGGCCCCGCTGCCCAGCATCTGACTCCCCGGGGGAGGTGGCTGAGCAGAGCTGAGCTCCTGCCAGTCCAGGGGACATCACACCCCTTCCCAGGGCCCGGGGACCTGCTCACTCCCCACCTGGCCCCCTCCTGGCGGCCCCCGCGGATTCTGCTACATTTACGCCCCTTCACCTGACCGTCCCCTTTGGGAATTCTGCACACAGCGACGATGTAATTAAACAATGAGGGCAGCTTAAGAAGAATTTCAGACAGCCAGGATTCAGAATAATTTGTGAAAGAAATTATCGAGGAATTATCATCTGGGGGGAAATGCTGGCTTCGTAGACTTCGAGCTGGAGTGTGGTTATGTGACCAGGGGTCAGCTATTCAGGGACTCCTGACGGGGGACCGATGGTGGAGGGAGGGACCAAAGACCCAGAAGCAGGTAGGAAGCTGCGTTTGGAAGACTCGGGAACCCAGCCTTGTTCCACATCCTTCCAAACACCACGGGACCTACCTGGTGGTTTCGGCTCAGACTAGCCAGAGCTGTGCTGTTTTAAAAATGTTGAGCACACACATCATTGATTGGTAAAATATGATCAAAACGTATTCATAAGAAAAATAAGATATAATATAGAAAAACTCTGGTCACTAAAATCTTAGGCAATTTCAACAAGACACTGGGCCCCTGGGTGGGGGAAGGAAAAGTGTGCTAAGCTTCATAGTTTGCTAGAAGAGAGGAGGAAACAAGTATCATTCGTTCTGGAGGAAACAAGTATCATTCATTCTGGAGGAAACAAGTATCATTCGTTCTGGAGGAAACAAGTATCATTCGTTCTGGAGGTTGACCACAAAGTATCGATTTTAAAAAATGTTACTAGTGGGCACACAGACTGGCTGAGATGGGGATGAGCAGAGATGAAGAGGCTGCCACAGGAACACGGTGCTGGCGTTTGTCTCTGTTGCTCACGCCTCACCCTGTCCTGCCAAGGACTCCAAGTGCAGGCAGCCCAGCCCCCTGGGAAGGTGCCAGCTGAACAAAGCCCCTCCCCTCCCCTGCTTCCCACTGTTTGTACTGTGATAATCCCAGAAGCCCGTGCAGACTTCCGCTATTTAAAAAGTGCCCTGTTAAGCAATAAGAAGTCACGTGCATGCAGAGAAGGCTGGCTGCTGCGGGTGTCGGCATGGACAGGGCTGGCGTGGACAGTGCTGGGCCAGGTGAGCCCAGATCCAGCCACTTTGACCTGTGGCCTTTGCTGAAAGGAGGAGGGTGGGAGGCTGACCCTGCTGCTGTAAGGCACCCCTCTTTCAGAGCTTGGGTGGGTAGGTGGGGGTCAGGGTGGAATGTGGCCATTGGGCTGAGCCTGGTAGGTATCCTACCTGGTAGAGGAGGTGGAGCAGGAGGGCGGATCGCTCTGCCTTGGTTTTCAAAGCACAAGCGTGCAGCATGCCACTTCCACAGGAAACGGACTTCCTGGAGGAGGAAGACCACAGGGGCTCAGAGGCTAGAGAGAGAGAAAAATCAGCAGTCACTATGCCCAGTTAATCAAGGACACACAGAACAATACAAGCCACAAGTGATCTGGCTGCCCCACCAGGGCATGGGGACTGGCGGGTGGGTCTTTTTAAACCTGACTGTGTCACTTTGAGTCTCACGCATGAAGAGAGAGCGGGAACAGGAAGACCACGAGGCTGGGGCATTTCACACCCTGTTATCACCACAGCTGGCACGGGCCTCAGAGCTGTGGGGTGTTGGCTCTAGAAGTGATGTTAGACTCTTTTGCTAGAAGTGATGTTCTAATGAGTTTTTCCAGCCCTGTGTGCTACAAATAAGGAGATGGGGGACTCCAAATTCGTCCTGGATTGCAGGGTAAGGAACACTGTCTCCCTGTTCCCTAGATTTCAAGGAGTTTCTTCATCTCAAAGCAGCGAAAAACTGGGCACACTGTATAATCGCATATTTCCAGTAATGTTGAACACACCCACAAACACCTTACAGGTGACGGATAGCATCTGACATCTCTCTCCCAGCCTCTGAGATACTTTACCTTTGGCTCTCCTCAGCATCACTGTGACTCGTCTACATGTGAACCTCACTAATTTTCCTGCTGGGGACCCACTGCCCCTGGAGTGGATGGATTAATGTCTACACTGAGTACAATAGTGTCCCCCCAAGTTCACATCCACCTGGAACTTCAGTCTGTGGCCTTATTTGAAAATAGGGTCTTACAGATTTGTAACCAGTTGAGTCACCTTATGCTGACCCGCATCTTTGCAGGAGGAACTTGTTGGCCATGAACTTGGGAACTTAGCCGAGATTTCCAAGCGAAGTGTTGGAGGCCTGGTCTGGTTTCTCCTGAAATAAATTGTGAGAGAAAAGCGATAACTGAGAAAGCAGCTAATAAGCAAAAAGGAGCATGGCCAGCATGGTTCAGTGGTGGAGGGTAAACCCACAAACCTGGAGATCACGGTTCGATTCCCAGTCAGGGCTCATGCCCAGGTGGAGGGCTTGATCCTCAGTAGGGGGGTGCAGGAGGCAGCCGATCAATGACTCTCTCATCACTGATGTTTCTCTCTCTCTCTCCCTTCCTTTCTCTGAAGTCAATTAAAAAAAAAAAATTAAAAAAAAAAAAAAGGAATGCCAAGGAACACCAGGGGTCACCAGAAGGTAGAAGGTGGACGAGGCAGGGAGGACCCTCCCCTGGAGCCTCGGAGCCATCGGGCCCTGCTGACTCCAGAACTGTGAGAAGAGACATGTCTGTGTTTGAAGCCACCAAGTTTGTGATGACGCGTAGGGCTGTCCTAGCAAACAATACAATGTCTGTGATTCAGGAAAGAGCCATTATCTCCTTAAATATTAATTCAGCTTCACTCTCTCTCTCCTTTCCTGCTGGCCTCTGATTAAATGTGTGCTGGCTCTTCTCAGTCTGCAGGGTCCCTCACTCCCACCCTGTTCACCTTTGTCTCCTCATTCTGCTATAAGTAATTTCTCTCTCCAGATTGTATATTCTATCTTCAACTGTGTCTAATCTGCTATCAAAGCTATCCACTGAGTTTTTAATTTTGGTTATTGTATTTTTTATTTCTAGGGTTCTGGGTTGTTTTTTCCACATGCCTCCCTGGATCCCCATCTTGTAGCCCAGAGCCCGGCACAGTGGCCTCCAGTGATTGTTGAATTTAAGGGGAAGGATACAGCCCTATGGAGGCCCATTTGTGTCTGATTTTGCTCAAGACCTTTTCTCTCTTCATTCTCAAAATCTATGAGTTCCAAAGCAGATGGATCTATCACATGGACATGTAGTTACTAACTGGAAGTTGTTGGTGCTAAATCCACACACCTCTGGCAGCTGCCAGCCTGTCCCATCTGGGTCCCTGAAAATTCCACTTTACTGTAGAATCACTGTCATTTGCAGTAAGTCTGTAGTTCATCCATATTGTCCAATTTCTTAAACATGTTTCCCTTGGAGTTGGCTCATCTCAGGCCCTTATGAGACAGGAATAAAATAGTTTGTTCATCATAATGATTGAAATATGAGACTCTGACTTTTCATCCTCATAGTCACATAAGCATATTAATTGCCAGGCAAACTTGGAGCAGCCCTGAACTTGTTGGCCACATGCATTATTTAGGAAGGGTAATGAGCCAACAATTGCTTTAACTTTGGGTAAATGAGAGAGGTGGAGGCTCATTCCCTGTGTCATAATAATGCAGGTGGAAAAAGGAAACTCAGACTTCCCACTGGTGCAGAGGGGTTATGCCCTGTGTCATTGGAAAAGTCACATGTTGACAGCCAACTCAGACATTCGTTGGTGGTGCTGGTCACTGTCAATGCTTCAGACAGCACCATTGTAAGGATATGTTTTGATGAGCTTTGCTTCCCTTGCCTTTTCCTCATTAGGCATTGGGATGGATGTTCCAGAACTTTCTCTTTTCCACCTTACCTTCTACCCTGGAGGCTGACCACTATGAATTGCATCTAGTTCCCCTTCCCTTTAACACTCACGACCTAACAGTGCCTTTGCTGCACTTTTGCCCAGGCTGTAGATGAGGAAACTCAGAGGGTAGGTCACTGTCCCCATTACATCGCCTGGGGGAATGTGTGACAGGGTCAGGATCCACCTGGTCTCTTTGCCTCAGTCACGTTCACCCTGCCTTACAGGGTGCCCCTCGCTGGTGCTTGTCCTGTGGGTTGAGACCAAAGCCATGTCTGAGAGCAGGTGTGAAAGTCCCACTGTTTACAGTCAGTGGTGCTCAAGGTGAAATAGCCATTCTGATGGGACAGATCATGCCAGAAAGGTCACCCCTCAGTCAGGAGCCATAGGAAACAGGGCTGGGGACTGACAACAGCCCACTGCTCTGGGGAAATCACTGGAGAGGCCAGGGCATAGGGAGCCCAGCTAGGGTCAAGAGTCAGAACTGGAAACTGTCAGGACTGTGGGAACAGGGACACGGGCGTCAGGAGCACGTGAATACTATTTGATCAAGAGCCATGTCCCCTCCCAGACAGGCTGGGAATCACACACAGTGACTGTCCATGCCTATGTTTTAAATGATTAAATTAGCACTTGCTTAATAAAGAAAATCTAGTGAAAGTGAGGAAATAGAGAAAATAAATCCCCTGGCTCAGGAATGTGACATTTGCCCCAAGAGCCTGTGGTCTGGGAAATCTATGTCAGGGGAGATGGTCCAGATGTGGTGTTTGACAGGAAACAAGCCGTGGGCACGTCCTGTGTACAACAGCATCAAAAATGCTTCGTGCCTCAGCCTCCCAAGACAGAACACTTCCTTCCTGGCTGTGCCATCGACTGGGGTGCAAGGAGGCAGAAGCCAGATTTGGGGTTCACCAACGTGAGGGTGCACCCAGCTTTGCCCACATACATATTCATAGACAAATGAATGAATATCTGCTATTCTGGGGACAGGGCATCCAAACAAACAGTGTCTGAAGTCATGAAATTCACACCACGGCTACAATTTCATAGATTTTTATTTGTGGCACCAAAAGACACATTTAGAGACGGTGGTTTAGGGGCGATTGGCTAGATGCTCTCGCTGCCCGGGGAGGGTGAGCGACGGGAGTCAGACGACGCAGAGCCGGGTCCCCGTGATTCTAAAACAGTCCCAGGACATTCAACGCATCTCACGCTACCTGTGGCTTCATTTCGCGAACTCCTCTCCATTTCTAGTCATCTCTTAAAGAGCTTTTTTCAGGATAACAATTAGTTTGCGGGGAGCTATGAAAAACTCCCGCTGTGGTTACGCTCCATTATAAATACCGGTGACCGAGGCCCGAGCCCTGCGAGAAGACTGCCCACCACGTGGTCCAAGGGAGATACCGATCTGCTGGGCAAAAGTGTCAAGCCTTTTTTTTCAAATCATGAAACATTAGCCAATTTTGGGCCCATCTTGGCGACACCCAGCATCCCTGCTCCTGGCCCGTGCAGGGTCTCCAAGGCTCCCAGGGGAGTTACCGGGCTCTGTGCTCGGCCCTCCCAGGGGAGGTCCCTGCTACTTCACAGCCCGTGGGGACAGCTGGCAGGTGGGTCCCCGACCGTCCTGGTCTCAGCCCCCTGCCTTTGCAGAACCCAGAACCTCCCGCCTACATATCCCATGTGGGTGTCACCCGGGGGGATCACCGCTGGCTTTTAAAACCTCAGCAGGTCAGCCACCCTCCACACGGTTCCACCCAGACGGCGGAGGGATCAGACGCAGTGGCTTCCTCACTCCGCAGTCGCCTGTGAGACAGCCTTGCGGCTCCTCCTCTCGCCACCCAGACACAGAGCGTCACTCAGCAGGTGACATTCAGAACGCGACAGGTTTTAAACAGCTGGACAGCCCTAACCATCGCTGGGTGTAAGTCTCAACGGCCCAACACCGGTCTAAGGGTGATTCTTTCCACATTGCCCATCAACATAATTAAGTGTCGTGTCGGGCTCCAGGTTTTATGTTCCCAGCAACCTGCCAACAAGAATCGTTTATTGGCAACTTGAATGCTCAGAGGCAAAATAATACATTTCCTTGGCACACGAGCCACGCGAGCAGCATCCCCTCCCGGTGCCCCACGAGCAGGACGGGAAATCAGCGGTGCGGGTTGGCCTGCAGGCGGGAAGCGCAGCAATCCCAGTGCCCCTCGCCCTGTGGCGTCCTTGTGTGGTGACGCGGGCATCTGGCAGGTGAGCGTCTGCCACGGTCTGGTCTTTCTGATGCTTCACACAAGCAAGGGCACCTGCGGTCAAGAAAGAGCCCTGGTTACTCAGGGTCCGCGGAAGCCAGGTGCCCGCCTTGCAGAGCACACGGCGGAGTGGCTGCCGACAGGTGCCCTCTGGGCCCAGCCTGACCCGGGTCCTGGCGACTCGGGCTGTCTGGGCCTGTTCACTTTTATGGAAAACGAGACCATCCCAGTACCGACCCCTCAGGCGCATGTGCGAACATAAGCTTAGGGTCTGGAAATGACCTCAGGAACCAACATCGATCGGCAGCCACCCTGTTATTAGCATAAGTCCCCAAACCCACTGGGCACGAGTGGGCATGGAGGGCCCACCCAGTCTCAGACTCATCCTGAGCTGAAACAGGTCTCGGCAGCCGCTGGCCCAAGTATCCTTTGGATTTGGGAATCCCGTTGCCGGGGCCACAGATGCTACTGTGCTTTCGGGGACCAGGCGGGAGAGCAGACTAGCACAAGACCACGAAAAGCGCGTGCTCTGTGCCCGAGACTTGAAACCAGTTATTTTCAAACACTGTGCTAAAAAAATAAAAATAGAAGAAACCCCACCGGCAGCCTCCACCCAGGCTGAGGCCCTCGAGTGTGACCCGGGCTCCACGGGACACATCTTAGGCTCCTGCACAGCCTGTCCCTGGACCCCCAGGGTGGGTGGGGAATGTGCTCAGAGGTTATCAGTGTGATGCACCCTCCTGTGTCCCCAGGAGCTAGTCCGGCTGACTGTCCCCCCAGGAGGGTGTGCATGGCCCCCGCTGGCCGGAGTGGTAAGGACGCTGCATGGCCATCCCTCCTGCCCTCGCCCCACGGCTGTCTCAGGGCCTGTCGCTCCCGCCTGCAGGTGGTGACATCCTTCCATGTCCCTCTTGTCCCTACAGCAAGGCTCACACGTAGCCCCTCTCACCTTCCTCAGCCTGGCAGCCCCTGTGCCAGAGCGGATGGCGTCCATCAAGGCCTGCCTGGCATCCACCGGGTTGCCTAGGGGGCTGGAGCTGGACCTGGATGCTGTCCTGGAGGTGGACAGAGCTGGGGCAGCTGGAGGGGGCGGGGGCGGCAGGGAGGCCGGGGGCCGGCTGCCGAGGTCTTCCAGCCCCGGGGGCTCCGGCCCATGCTCGGACCTGGCGGCCTCACGGAAGCTCCGGAGCTCCTCAGAAGCACAGGAAGCCACCTGGTGAAGAGATGGTTAAATGACAGTGTCCCAGGGTTCTTTCCGAGGCAGCACATGGCTGGGTGTCTTCCCTGCTCCCGAGTTCCCCCAGTGGCCAGTGACAATGGCAGGGAGCAGGGAGGGTGGTGCTGTCCCTCTGAGACCTCCTGGTCTCCTGCTTGTCTTGTCAGGCGACAGGCCTGAGGCTGTTCACACCAAGCTGACTGATTGCCGTGGAGGACCCACCCCCATACTCAGAGCCTCGTGTACCCAACTCCCTGCTCCTGGGTCCTGGCTGTGGAAGCTGGAGGCCACCCTCCTGCCCCTAAAGCTCCTGAGGTTGGTCAGACCAGCACCAGGGTGCTCCCCCCAGGTGACCTACACCCTGAAGCCATGCTGGGCCCCCTCCAGGAATGTGGAAAATGCCAAGTGCTGGGTGGGCAGGTGGGGAAGGAGGGAGACTTTCTGGGTGCTCTTGGCTCTGTGCAGCGACCGCCCCTCTGCGCCGGTCTGGTGGGTGGTGGTGTGTGGGGAGACACCAGCTGGTGGTGCACCGTGTCGCCCTGAATTTGCAGCCACACCCAGGTCCCCCGCAGCCGGGCTGGCCTCACGCCTCACCTTCCGCAGGCTGCAGGCCCCGCGGTGCCCCCGGATGGCCGCCAGCAGGGCCGAGTGCTCGCTCTCAGACTCCACGTAGGACGGCTTTTTGGGGCCTCTCTCTGGGCTGTGCTCCGTCTAGAACAATAAATACCGACACGGGTCAGCTGGGAGGCCACGGGGTCAATTTCACAGTCCCTGTCTGCTGGACGGCAGGGTTTTTCTCCACGGTACATTCTAACCACGAGGCAGCATCGACCTTGGAATAGGTAATAACCATCAAGTATTTGGGTGACATCAGACAATGGCCTCTCACGTTGGGTCACTCCTGTCACTGGTCCTGGCTTTCCAAGCTGCAGACCTGGGTGGGAGTCCTGGGTCCCCACTAGCTGCGACCTTGGGCCAGGTCACGGGGCCTCACCTGCCTGTTTCCTCATTTAAACACGGCAGGAGGTGGCTCAGCAGCTCCCCTAGCTCGTTAGTCTCAATGGCACCCGCTGAGAGCGACACCCCGTCACCCTCCTCACCTGCTTCTGGAGGGACCCTTCTATATGGTGCAGCAGTGAGAGATAATGTCTGTAAGGTAAATGCCTGACAAGGGGGAGGCGCGTCGTAAAGATGCTCCGTTACGGCCCGGCCGGCGTGGCTCAGTGGCTGAGCACTGACCTCTGAACCAGGAGGTCGCCGGTTCAATACCTGGTCAGGGCACATGTCCGGGTTGTGGGCTCGATCCCCAGTAAGGGCCTGCGGGAGGCAGCCGATCAATGACTCTCTCTCATCATTGATGTGTCTCTCTCCCTTCCTCTCTCTGAAATCAATAAAAACACATTTAAAAAAAAAATGTTCCTGTTGAAGGGTGTGAGGCAGGAGTGGCCCGGGCCTGGCTGCCCACTAACTCGCTCCGGTGCTCCTGGAGCAGCCCCGATGACAGCCCTGCCTCCTGCTCCCTGGGCTATATGCCCGAACCACCCCCTTTCTGACGTTAGTGGTTCTGTTCAGATGCCGTGCGAGGGGGACAGAAACCTGGCTCAAGTGAACCCGTGTGTCCCCTGGTCCGTGTCCCCCCCGCACCCCTGGGCTGGCAGGTGTGGGAGGAGGGCCTGCGCCCCAGGGCAGGGGCCCGCTGTTCACCTTCCGCAGCCAGTCCTTGCCGCCCGCCGAGTGGATGGCCTCCATCAGGGCGCTGTGCAGGGAGGTGTCTTTGGGTGCCGGCCTCTGGACGACAGGCCTGAACTTTTTCTTTGGCCCGAAGATGCTGGGTGGCGGGGTGCCGTCGACGTCTTGTATGTCTGTGCACAACACCCTGGCCGTCTCCTCCTGCTCGAGGACCGCATGGCTGTCCGTGCCCGAGGCCCGCGGAGAGGGCGGTGGCTGGCTGTGGTTGGGGGCCCACCTGGAGCCATTCACCAGGGACCTGCCGGGCGCCTGAGTGTCCCCGGACCGAGGAGGCGGGCTCCTGGTGCCCTCCGGTGTGCGTCTGGGGTCCGACGCCGAGCTGGCCCTGTGGTTACTTGCACTTTGCTTTCCACCCCAACCACAGCTCGGTCCCACGGAATCATGGTCCCTCCGGGCAGCTGTGATAAGCGGGACGTAGGCCCCTCTGTGGGGGCCAGCAGGACAGTCGTGGGGAGACGGCTTCCCATGAGGGCTGCTGACCTGCCCTCCGGGCTGGGCTCCTCCTGCTGATTCCTCCCTGGGGGTGTTGGGAAGGTGACGGCAGGGTGACGTCTCCTCTTCATGTCCCTGTGTCTCCAGGCAGGGGTGGCGGGTGGTGTCCCTCGTGGCACGAGGCCGCCCCCTGAGCTCTGGCGCCCTGCCCTCCCAGGTCTGCCTGGCCTCCTGCTTCCTCGCCACGTCCTGGGCTTGCGGGGGCCCTATCCGCCTGGCGATGGCAGAGGCCACGTACTGGCTAGATGTTCTCCTCTGAGGCTTGAGAAATGGGACTTGGGTGGTGTGAGCTGCTGGCACTTTCATGTGACAAGTGGCTGTTGAAGGCGGCCGGCTGTCCCCCTGCTCCAGCCGTCTCCCGTCTCCCTGGTGGGCAAGTAGCTGCTGGGGCGACGTCACCGTGGGGCCGGGGGAGCTGGGCTCTGCTCCGAATCTGCTTCCTTGAGGCTGGGACTTGGCTGGTGCGGTGGGGATGGGCGTGTGGGGGCCCCAGTTCGAGCCCTCCGTGGGCCTGCCTGCGGGTCTCTCCGTGGAGTCTGACCCCCGGGACCCTCTGGCTTTTCCAACGGGCTGGGTTTCTTTTTCGAGAGCAAAGGACGACAGCACCATGGTCCTGCCCCCGTTTGCGCGGGGACTCACGAGGTTCCCGAGCTCGTCGATCTTGATCGCGCCCGTTGAGAGCGACACCCCTCGGTCGTAACACCGCATCTCTGACTTCGGGGGGACAATTTTATACGTGGTGAGGCCGTATTTAAGTCCGAAGCTCCCGCCTGGGTTCTGGCCTCGTTGATACCACGACAGAGGTGCCGAGGCATCCTTCCTATCGTCACCCTCCTGCTCCTTCCCGGGCCGGGAGTCCGCGGGCGTGGGGGTCTGAGTCTTCCCGCTGGGACCAGAGCCGCACTCCCTCCCTCTCTCCTTTGCGTGTTGGTCACGTCGGTGGAGCTCCGAGGGCCCCTTGGCCTCCACTTGAACAGGATTCCCATCTTTACAGGTGCTGGACAAGGCCGATCGGGTTTCCTTCCCAGCGGCCTGGGGAGGCTCAGGTGCACGGGGCCCCTCTGCTCTCTTCTTTCCCTGTGGCGGCGGCTCCACCTGGGCCGGTGGCAGGTGCACCCACCTGCCAGCTGAACTCCCCCGGTCAAAAGACCCGGCGTTGTTGTTTCTGTTGGAAAACAGCCCCGGCTCCACAGGATCATCTAAAACTTCCCCTATGAAGGTCACTGGGATGGTGTCGGCGTCGCTGTCGGGGACCATGGCACCCTGCGCACTGCGGCCCGACACGCCGCTGATGGAGCCGGTGAGAGAGCTGGTGTCGGTCTCGTAACTGTCTTCCATTTCTGCAAAGAGGCACAGACACCGGTCACAGGCTGCCCCGCGCCTACGAGCCCTGTGCCCCTCGCCTATGCCACACGCCAGGATCTGGGGTCCCCGAGGCTCCTCTTGTCTAAGTTATTTGTGTCATTTCAGTTTGGCATCCACACTTGCCTGGGGCCAGACTCACAGCTTTTCTTTTATTCCTAGGCAGAGGCCCCACCGTGTCTCCAGGTGAGGCGTTTAGATACAACAGCTTGCTGACATCCTTCACTTAAGAATAGCTCCCTAGCCCTGGCCGGTTTGCTCAGTGGTTAGAGCGTCGGCCCTCGGACGGAAGCGTCCTGGGTTTGAGTCCGGTTGAGGGCATGCACCTCGGCTGCAGGCTCGCTCCCCGGCCCTGGTCAGGGCGCGTGTGGAGGCAGCCGGTCGATGTCTCTCTCTCTCTCCCCCCTCCACTCTCTCTGGAAAGCAATGGAAAGAATACCCTCGTGTGAGGGTTAAGAAAACAAACCAAGATCCCTAAACCCCAGGCTCTGGAATCACTGTCTTGGCAGCGAGCATGGGGGCAGATCCCGAGAGTGACAGTCATTCTGCTCTTTTCACCAGGAGCACACAGGACTCGCGGGCACTGAGCCTCGCACCCTGGAACCCGCGCTAACGGTGCCCGGGGCGGGCACAGGAGCAGGGCTCAGACACGAGCGGCTGGCTCGGGGCATCGACTCTGCCAGCTCGCCTCCCGGGGACAGGACCTTACCAGCGAGTTGGACAAAACTGATCTGTTTCCCCTGGTTTTGTTCTAAGGTATGGCCACCATCAGCTCTGGTCTGACGACAGCGTTGTCCCCCTGACACCTCCACAGGGCGGCAGGGACGTGAGGCTCTGCGTTTTCAGAGAGTAAAGGGGTGCAGGTCTTAACCAAGCCACCAGTACACAGGGGCCACCGTTGTCTCCCTCACTCGCTAGGGGCCCGGAGAACTTTTTTAAATATGTGTGGAATACTTTCCAATGTGAAAACTTGGTATCACTCAGAGCAGGGCGCAGGCGCTGCTCGGCCGCCCCGGAGAGGCCGGCCTCGGAGCCGTGCGGCAGGGAGCTCGGCCCTCACGCCCCGCTGTCCCCACGCTGGGCCCTCTTCCTGCGGCAGGCGCCTGCCTGGGGAGTTACTACAGAGTGTGCTCAGAAAAACAGCCTCAGAGCCACCGCCGCAGAACGGGGTCCGAGAGCAGGGGTGGCCCTCACCTTCCAGGTCCTCGTCCAGGTCGGCCAGCGTCCGCTCGAACTGCCCTGCGATGGGGTCCTGGTCGTCACCGGGGGCTGCGGCATCCTTCTCAGTTCTGGAGCAGAGAGAAAGGAGAACATTCATTTCCCTCAGCTTGGCTTTCCCAGTATAAAATCTCAGGAGGGAGAGGTTCAGCGAGGTTCGCCTGCCCCTCCTTACCCACCACTAGCCACTCTCTGAAGGTTGCTCATGGCCTATAACTCTCCCCTCTCTCCCTGTAAAGCCCAGAGTGAAGCACTTTGTCCCTGGGCCGGGCAGGCAGCTGCTCTGGACAAGCAGCGGGGCCTGAGTTCGAGTTCCCGAAGACTTAAGAGCTGGCAAGAAGCGCCCGCCTCCTCTCGGCTGGAAGTAATGCCCGCTTGCTCCTGGGCATCGCTCCGCAGCCCAGCGAACCCCAGTCCTCAGATACAGTTCTTATTGACGGTTTGTTTTGGCCTAAGACCAAGAAAACAAAGAACAAACACAGCCCAGACGTCTTGATTCCGGGCTACACATGTTGAACAAACATTACCAGCGGCATTTTCTCACACGGGGTGTGACTGCAGAGAGCACAGTGACGGTTAGGGTCCTGCTACATCAAATACGAGGGACAAAGGGCAACGCCGGTGAGTTTCAGACGAGAGTCTGCCCAGAAGGCGGAGCTGCCTGGTGGGCCCGTTCCTCATGGGACAGGGGGCACAGGGTGGGTGCCCCAGGGGGTGTGGCCCAGTGGCCTCCCCACTCCCTTGCAAATGAGAACTAGGGGCAGTCAGGTCTGATCAGTGCCAGGAAAAATGGGTGTTTTTTGGTTTTATTTTGTGTTCATTTTATATGAGAAAGAAAAAAACAGCCTGGGCTAATGATGACCCCTTCCAGCATATTTGGCTATTTTTCTATTGGATGTGGCTAAAAAAGTGTCTTTAGGTAATTTATCCAATGGCAAAATAATAAAAAAAGCGTTGGAGAGAAAAAAGAAGTCCCTTTCATGTGGCAACACAATTTGCAAATGACAACCAGACCAACCCATGTGATTTCACAACAATTACCTGATAAACTAAAGGCAAGGAGCCTGGGAAAACGCACAGGCGATAACAGTCATACACTCTTAACCTCCCGTCCCATTAACAAACCTTCCTGTGTTTGCAAAGCCTCAGAGATCTAGAACCACGTGCCCAGCAGGGATGGAATGTGAGCCACCAGCGTAATCTTAGATCTCCTTGTAGTCGCATTAAAAAAGGTAAAAGAAGTAGGTGAGGGGATTTTAACTAAATACCTTATTTAACTTCAATTAGTATACTTTACTTAACCCAATCTTAACCCAAATTATTTTAATCATTTCTCCACGTAATTACTCTAAAATCACTTTTTTTTCAGGCCACACTGGGAGCACAGTTCACACATGCAGCTCCTCTCTCTGTGGACCGTCCACTTGGCAAGTGTGTGTGGCCAGATGTGGCTAGTGGCTACTGTCCTGAACAGCTCAGCTCTCCCAGGTCTTAAATGTTTTTTGAATGTTTCTCTGTAAATGCAGTTACAAAGTTTCCGGGTCTTAGAAGGTGTTAAGATGTTCCTGAATGTCCCCATGGGTCCAAAGTTCCTATAGTTACAAAGTTTCGGGGCTCTGGAGGGTATAAAATGTTTCTAGAGTAACAAGTTCCTAATAGTTACAAAGTTTTGGGGCTCTGGAGGGTATAAAATGTTTCTAGAGTAACAAGTTCCTAATAGTTACAAAGTTTCAGGGCTCTGGAAGGTGTAAAATGTTTCTAGCAGGGAGAGCAGTGGGCAATTCAGGGAGGCGCCCGTCACCCAGAGAAGCTCCACCTTCTGTCTTCCGAAATATGAATTTGTCTTTGGATTTGTCCTTAAGACTGAAGAACTAGACATTAAATTTACCAGAGTGTACTTAACAAATGGATGCTGATTACACTAACCAGATGAACATTTATGTTCATGTGGACAAAGTTGTAGCAAAACATGAAAAAATACAAAGAGTATATTTATTCATTTTGGTGAGTGATTTATGAATATTTTTTTATTATTTTACTTTATTTCCACTAATGCTTTTATGACATTGTGTGATTGGTTCTTAAAATTATCTAAAAGGTGAAATAACTTGATGGGCTACAAAGAATTAACCTGCTTTCCCTATAAGAATAAAAAAAGGAATTAAGACAGTGTGGTTCTGGGACTGTGATGGACAGAAAAGCCAGAGCTATGGAAAAGAGAGACAGACAGATGTGCCTCCAGAAACCTGGTACATGACAAAGTGTATCCAGTAGTTGGTGGGAGAAAGCAGATTTCTTCTTCACATCACACCCCAAAATAAACCACAGATAGACCAGGAGGCCAACACCCAACTTTTATAAGAAATTCAGACCATCTCTAGTCTTTAAGCGTATGGAAGGGTCTCTTGAATATGCAAAGATCATATATATTCAGTAGAAAACGGATGAATTCAACAGCACTAAGATTAAACAGCAATTTTTATACAACAGCAACAAAGTTAAATTCAAGCTTCAGTCGTAAAGACTCTGTGTGTGTAAGTAATGGACAAAGGAGAAATTAAGGATTGTTTTTAAAGGAATATCACGATTTTAAAAGAAGGTCAAAGTCAATGAAAAGGCAACTCCTAGAAGAGGAAAACCCAACAGCTACCACACAGGTGACAAGCTGCTCATTCTGCGAACCGGAGATTAGAAGGTAAAGCCACGTGCAACGCCGTCTGACCGCCACGTGACTGGCAGACTCACACTGTCCACCGCCCCGCACGCTGCGTGGACGCGGAGGGACCCCCGCAGGGCGTGCAAATCAGACACCGTTTGGGAGAACAATCTGTCAATCATCCCTCAAGTTAAGAGCGAGTCTTTCTGAGAGTCTGATAGTTTCTCTTCTAGAGAACTCACTATGTGTAAAACAGACACATACGTACAACTTGTTCGCTGCGTCCAGTGGTGGAAACCCCAACAACCCACGTGTCCATTCTTTAAAAAACGAAAAATAAACGCACAGAGGACCCGTGTGTCATCATGGGTCAATCTCGAGAACAGGATGCCGAGTGAGAGAGCACACTGAGAGAACGGAGCATCTGTAAAGGGGAGAGACAGCCCTGGCCCGTGTGGCTCAGTGGTTAGAGTGTTGGCCCACAGACTGAAGGGTCTCGGGTTTGATTCCCAGTCAAGGGCACGTAGCTGGGTTGCAGGTTCAACGCCCAGCCCAATGGCGGCAAATGCAGGAGGCAACCAATCGATGTGTCTCCCTCACATCGGCGTTTCTCCCTCTCTCTCCCTCCCACTTTCTCTGAAAAACCAACGGAAAAAATATCGTCCTGTGAGGATTAACCACCACCAAAAAAAGAGTTTATAAACAAACAAGACGTTACTCTGTGATTTATCAACGCTGGTACACCTAGAAAGAGTATGAAGAGTGATTGCGGATAACAAGCCCCCAGATTAGAGAAGGGGGCCCTGGGGAGGCACCGCNCAGGGTGATTGCGGATAACAAGCCCCGAGATCAGAGAAGGGGGCCCTGGGGAGGCACCGCTCAGGGCATCTGTCGGACGGACGGCTGTGAGGAAGGCGTCAACCCTGGCGACCAGGACNAAGAGTGATTGCGGATAACAAGCCCCCAGATTAGAGAAGGGGGCCCTGGGGAGGCACCGCTCAGGGCGTCTCTGTCGGACGGACGGCTGTGAGGAAGGCGTCAACCCTGGCGACCAGGACGGGCCCCCTTCCCCACTGTCCCTGACTCACCTGGAGTGCCAGTGCCCGGGGCCGTTCCTCTCCCATGCGGGGCTCTTTGGGGGCCCCAGCTCTGGGGTTCCGACCAGGTCCTGGTCACTGCCGTCCTCCTGGTCGGTGGCCCACTTGTCTCTGGACTTGGTGCTGTCGTGTTGGGAGTCCAGGGAGACGATGTCCGAGGGGGAGCTCATCACCCCCGAGTCTTCCGTGGTGTCCTCGGATGCGAAGCAGCTGCCCACAGACACGGTCTCCTCGGCCTCAGGGGGCACCATTGGGGCGCCGTCTGCGCCACAGGGACTGCCGGGCGCCAGGGGCAGGCTCACTGTGCGAGACACGCAAGGACACGTGAGCCGGCAGCCGTCCAGCTCTGCCCACCAACCCGCCCAGCTCGTCGGAACCTCAGAGGCTGGGGTGCTAGGAATCAAGGGTTCAAACGCACAGCTTCCTCCAGGAACAGCCCGGCCTGGGGAGCCGCAGGCCTAGGCGTGGCTGAGAGCAGAAGGCTCCCTCAAAAGTCAGCGTATTCTGAATCTGCCTTTTGAACTCTGGGCACAGGTTTAAAAGCTCAGCCCAACGACACGGTGGAGGCATCGGTCTCCGGCCCGACCCTGGGCTTAATTGAATTTTTTTTGTTTTTTTTGTTTCTTTGCTTTTTTTTTACTGTAGGGTTTGTAAAAATCTTAACAAATTTGGACATAATACTATTTGAAAACTTTCGACAAATACTCCACAGGTACGTCTGAAATTTGGCCTAAGACAGTAACGACAGTGTCTCCGTCAGCCTCTGGCTGTCCCTTCACTTCTGCCTGTGAGACAGCAAGTTCTGGTCTGAATCAGAGCTGATCTTGGGAGAGAACCTTCAAGTCGGATTAAAAGGACTCAGGACAGCAGGGTCCCCGGCTGAGGGTCTGTGGCCCCTGAGCTCGGGGTGACTTGCTGCAGGGGAAGGGGGGACACTCATCATCAGAGTCCCCGTTCCTCCCCAGGTGACTAACGCCGGGGACGCTGTGGCCACTGGCGCGGCCCCCAGGGATTTGGAGACACGTTGACAGAGTGAGGGTGTTTCTCCTGGGTCTGTACGACCCCCGCAGGGAGAGGAAACCCCTCGCTAAGGCCGAAGTCAGGACAGGCGTGCGCAGCTCTGAACCGGCCCGACGCCCGAGCTGTTTCTTTAAATTTAATGTAGAAACGGATTTTAAACTGGGACACCGCAGGGCCTACGGCCTGAGCCGGCACTGTGCATGGTGGGCGGGGAAGGATGGTCTGGGTCCTGCTGCGGAGTCCGTGTGTTCTGTTGAAAAATCGTTCCCCCAATAAGGGAACAGATAGATGCCCAGGATGAATTAACAGCCACGGCGGGCCACGTGCACACCGCACGCAGTCAGTGACGCTGGTCGAGTGACGTAACCGCACTCAACATCGCCACCGTTTCGCAAGGACAGCAGACGAGTGACAGGGAATTAACAGGAAAGAGCACCGGGGAGAAGGTGCCTGCGGTGCTGGGGGGTTTGAGACCCCAAACAGTCAGAGAGGGGACAGAACAGAAATTTCAGAGAGAGACAAGTCACAGAAGCCCCAAGGAGAGAGGGGACACAAAGGAGGGCTGTTCCCAGAGGCCGAATGCACAAGGCCATGCGTCCCAGCCCAGCGGCTGCCGCCCAACAACGGCCTCTTTCTAGGGCTTCCTTCCTGGCTTTTGTTGCGAGACTCTCAGAGGGCCGATGGGGAGGAGAGACACTGCCCGCGAATTAACGTCCCCAAACCTTTTCTGACACGGGTGTGGGGATCAGCTGTCACCCCTCGGATGGTGGCTGCGGCTCGGACAGGACAGGGGCCCTGGCCGCATCCATGGCTGGGTGGGTGCCAGCGGGGAAGGGCCCCATGACCGACTGGGCACACAGACCTCCAATCCTAGAGTCTCGGCTCTCTGGGGACTCACAGCTCACGAGGGGCAGACACGTGCGCAGAGAGGGACACTCCATGGCAGACGGCAGTGCCACCTCTGGGTGTGCGTGCACAGGAGAGTGGGTGGCTGGTCGGAGGGAGGCTTCGCACACAGTAGGCACAGCGCTGCTCTGATCCTGCTCCTGCTTTGCCCCCCCCCCCGGCAGCTGTCACTCAGGCGTGAAGCAGGACCCTCAGCTGGCTCCTCCTGGACATCAGAGCCCCTGCAGCCTGGGTTTCTGGTGCCCCCAGCCCCCCGAAATTCAAACTGCATCCATGGGGGGGGGTTCCGAGCCCACCCCACCCTCTTTCAGTCCAGTTTTAACATCAGGATGCTTGCTGCACTCGCTTCACGTCCCTCGGAAGTTTTGAGGCAAAAAATAAAAATAAAAGCTGAGAGTCACCGCTCTAAATCAGGCCGCAGCCAGGGAGGTGTGGGGAGCCTACATTCAGTGCACACGGGTTGAACGCACAATGAACGGAGTGGTGACCAGAGCCCCCTCTCGCCAGGCAAGTCCTCCGTTTCTCACGGGGAACCTTCCCCAGGGCCGGGGGGCGCCACCCTTGAGCCCACTGGGCGGCTGTGCCGTGCGGGCCTCGCCTGGGTGCCCGGGGCTGGGAGCGGCTGCTGGGGGGGCAGGTGCGGGAGTGGCCTGAGTGGAGTGAGGTGGTCACACGGGAATCGAAAGGACACCTGCAGAAATGCTCCAGGGAGCGGGACACGGGCGCAGTGACCTCTGCCATGGGCGGTGGGGACACAAGGGGAGGCCGGGGGGAAGGGGCCGGGAAGCCAGTCTGGGCAGCACACGTCCGAGGCTCAGGACCTGGGTCAGGATCTGGACACACTGCGGGGCAGCCGGCAGGGACAGCAGGGCCAGAGGCAGGAGCCATCTCCCGTGAGGGCCCAGCGGGGCCGAGAGCCAGTGCTTCCCTCTGCCCCGAGCTCCGCCAGCCCAGCCTCCTCTGCCCCGAGCTCCGCCAGCCCAGCCTCCTCTGCCCCGAGCTCCGCCAGCCCAGCCTCCTCTGCCCCGAGCTCCGCCAGCCCAGCCTCCTCTGCCCCGAGCTCC